TTGTATTGTTTGGTATTACATTGTATGATGAGCGCGCTCAAAATGAGATTTGTTTAATGAAGAGAAAAAAAGAGATACAAAAAAACAAAGACGGAGAATAGAGAAAGACGAGAAAAAACAAAAAAAGAGAGAGAGAGAAAGAGAGAGAGAAAGAAAGAGAGAAAAAAACAAGAGAGAGAGAAAGAGAGAGAGAGAGAGAGAGAGAGAGGGGGGTGACAATATCACACACCTCGTTGCTCCGGACCAACTTCTGGAATAATTCGTCATTATTGAACTTGTACTTAGCATTCTCCAGTACAAAACTTCTCATCAGCACTATAAAGTAGCAATTTTCAGTACAATTACTGATACTATTTCAAATAAAAAAAAACTTTAAATCTCATTTTAATTACGATTATTAATATTTAGTAACACAACCACAACTTTGCCATGATTACTACTACTACTACTACTCAATACTACTACTATTACTACTACAACTACTACTACTAGTACTGATGCCGCGGCTGTTGCTACTACTACTACTACGGCTTCTAAAAATTACCGTAATTTAGTAAAAGTTAAAATATTGACTGAAGAAAAGTTGTTTAAACTCCCAATACTAACACATTCGGATGTACGTATTGTAGATTTACAAGAAAAATAACCCAAAACACAATTCAACAAAAATGGTAGTACCATTAAATACTATTACCGGTTTTTAAAAACAATCAATACCGTATTAATTCTAGAAACACAGCCACTCAAGAAGTCTGAAGATGGTTAAAACACTATAAATACTTATAATACACTATCATTCACATATAGTATGGTACTAACAATTACTTTTACTATAAACCAACTAGATGACATCAGTAAAAGTCTCAATTTTACTGAGTTTTTGAATATATATATATATATATATATATATATATATATATATATATATATATATATATACGTTCGATAATAACGTTTATGATTGGCAGATAAACAGCCAATCAAAAGCGACTGCTAACTCCAACGGTATATTTGTATTAATACATGTTTGTTTGTTTGCATGTATGTATGTATATGTTTGTATGTTTGTTTGTATGTATGTTTGTATGTATGTTTGTATGTATGTTTGTATGTATGTATGTACGATTCTTCGATTATAACTCAAGTAAATCCGTCATCTCGATTTTTAAAAAATTCGTTTATTTAAATTTATTTTAACTAACCAACTAATTAGTCAAATAATAAATTATTCAATTAATAAATAAAGTAATTAATTAATTATATTCTCAACATAAAAAACATCTCACACGAATGTCCCAAATTAATCTTGGAGATATTGATAGAACCAAACCAAAATAATACAATAATAATAACATAATAATAATATAACAACAACGATAATAATACAATAATAATAATAATAATCACAACAGCAATAACAATAATGATAATCTTGTCCAGACAGTGCAAAAACTGAGACGTATAAATGAAAACTGAAGTTGTGATTGAAAAACTATGTCCAATCTATAAAACAGTTCTAGCGTTCATCACCCTCAACACCATCGCCCTCCACAAAACCGTAACCATCATCATGGTTATCATCATCATCACCATCATCGTCATCATCATCATCTATCACTATAATGCCTAGAATGCCGGCTACTACTACCACCACTGAAATCATCTCTATACGATGACGATTTACTCATCTGCTGTTGCTGCTGTAGTTGGTGATGATGGTAGCCACCGTAGAGAGATGAAGCCGCGGCCACAGATGATGACAACGTCGGTATTGGCTGATACACCTGGGCCGGGTACTGATAATAGTTGTAATGATACCAATGATGATGATGAGGAGGATGATAACAACAACACAACAACAACAACACAACAACAACAAAACAACAACAATGTAAACGATAATAAATTGATAAAAAAACATCAACAACATCACCAAATAGTCCTAACTACCTACCTACCTACCCACCAACCAAAGGACAACCCAACACAAAAGGACTTACTTACCTATCTACCGACCTACCAACCAACCAAAGGACAACCCAACACAAAAGGACCCCGTCCCAACAAACCTGATATGCCGCCGAGTAGTCTATAACAGGGCTAGGGTAGGCCGCCAAATGTGGGTCGTACACATACTGCGGGGGGAAATATGCGTAGGTGGAGGGCATCGACGGGGGCATCTAATTATTATCATTTATTATTATTTAATTATTTTTTTTTATAATTATTATTTAATTATTTTTATTATATTTATTTATTTGTGTATTTATGTCCGCCTGTGTATTCTGTTCGTCTATTCGCGTGTACATGCAACGCATACGAGGGCAATGTTCTTCCAGATTCGATTGCGATTGACAATGAACGTTGATAATGTAATTTTCATAATAAAACGACGACAAAGCGCTACATAAATTGTCGCTTTCATCATCATCATCATCATCACTATCATCATCATCGTTACTTACTCTGGAGGTCACTGATCCGCCATATTGAGATGGGGTTCTGGTGAATTCTCTGACGTAATCACTGTAAGACTGAATGAATGAATGAACGATTGAACGAATAAAAAAATGATTTGCATGAATAAATGAATGAAAGAATGGATTGCATGAATGAATGAATGAATGAATGAATGAAAGAATAAATGACTAACTCCATTTAGCAAAGTTTCTCTTCTTACGCCATAGCGAACCGGTATTCTGTTTTTGAGAATGAAAAAAAAATAAAAACAAACAAACATACAAACACAAATATACACACATGCATACAAACGTACATACATACAAACATACATCCATCCATACATACACACTTAACAAACATACTATCAAGCATACACACATACAAACGTACATACACACAAACAAGCATATACAAAAACTCACCCGTCTCCTTTCTCTCTATCACTTCTGTCTCTTCCACTGATATAAGCTTGAGTGAATGAATCAAAATAAATGACAAAAATGAACGAAAGAATGCCTCACATAAATTAATGAATGAATGAATGAAATGAAAGAATGTATAAATCAGACTCTCATCAAAGCATTTCCAGGAAAAAAAAAACAAATGACTTTTAAAATTAATGAACGAATGAATGAATGAATGAACGAACGAAAGAACGGAATAAATAAATTATATAAATAATAATAATAATAAAATAATAAACTTGCTCCTAACATGTACCAGTTCTTCTTCTAGAGCTATCTCTGCTGCTATCAAAAAAATAATTTCACGATTATCATTAATATTCATAACCTCATTATAATAATAATCATTATTATTCATCATAATTACCCAACGATAATTAGCATAATATATGTGTACGCACAGGCTGCAAATAGGGCGAATTAGTGACTCCAAACTAATTTTACAGCAAATTGAAAATTCATTACATAAAAAGTTTTGTGAACTTCAAGTTCAGCCATAGCTTTTTGCCTGGGGTATATTAAACCTTTAAAAGGTTCTTAAAATACAACAGCAAGGGGTACATCATGATACAATAGGGGAAAAAATTTATTAAAAAAACAACACAAGCAACACAAACTATGGCTGAACTATCAGTAAACAAAAATCATACTGGCACAGAAACACACACACACACACACACACACACACACACACACACACACACAGACAAACATACACACACACACGCACACATACATAGACAGACATACACACATACAAATACAGACAAACGCAGATACGCAGGCACACAACTTACCACAAAAAACCCTCACCAACACGTAGCTGTGTTGCGTCTAGAGTCTTAGGCCAGACCAAATCAATCAAAAATAGCAATAATAATAATAATAAATAATAATAATAAACGTTAATAATAGTAATAGCAATAAATTTGTCCATATTGCGAGAAACAAAAAAAAATGAACTAATAAATTTAGAGTTAATTCCAATGAAAAAGCAACTCATACATCCAGAGTATAAATGTAAATTCAACAGACATAACGTACACAAAATATATACAAAACGTACACAAAATGTATACAAAATGTACACAAAATGTATACAGAATGTGTATAAGACGATTCCAGGCAAATGTTTCAAATAATGCAGTATGCTTACAGATATGCATACACACACACACAAACATTTTGCACGTTTCAGCGGAGTTTGTATGTTAACAAAATTTTTTTCTGATTTCAAAAAGGTGATAATATATACAAATTCAGTGTTCTTCTTATAAAATGTTTTCACCATTTTAAAATAAATTGAAAATATATTTAGAGAGTTATTCAAATCAAAAGTCTGTTAGCTTTCAATAAGCCAAAGTCAATATTCTCTGGACCTCGCAAACTCTAGACATCACTTTAATTTCAGAGACAATTTCTAAAAAAGAACTTTCTAGAGAAGAGCTCAAGATGATGATGATGATGATAATGGGAGTGCTGATGATGATTAAGACGACGCTGGATCGTCATCATCATTTTTCATCTCATGAGATGCTAGTAACGACATGTTGATTGATAGATAGATAGGTAGGTAGGTAGGTAGGTAGGTAGGTAGGTAGGTAGGTAGATATATTTTCTACTCACGACATGGTTCAATCATCATCACTTCCATATCATCCTTAAATCTCTTCGCGTGAATAATAATGAAATTATTTAAAAAGATTTTCAAAGAGTTGACTGAATGGTGAAAGTAACGAAAATAATAATGCAAATAATAATAAGAAGAAATAAAAAACTCAGTATTGTCTTGTAGAGCACACCTAGTCAGATAATCTTTTCTAGCAGCAGTAGCAGTTGAAGTAGCTAAGTTGCTAGTGGCACCAGCTACGCCGCCAGCTATCTGACTCTTAGCTGAATCACCCAAAACACTACCGCCACCAGCAACCGCTGCCGGTGGCGTAGCTAAAACTTGAGAGCCGAGAGCAGCTGTAGTAGAGTTTGTTGCTGTGGTAGTTGAAACCGCCGCTGCAGTCGCTTGCTGTGGCTGGTTGGCTCGTCTGAGAGCGTGCTTCGATAGGGACGCTATTCTGTGCAGATCGATCTGACTGTCTTGCGGAAACATGCGACACAATATCTCGCCCACCGACGGCTCGATTTCCTGTGTAGATGGGCGGGTGTGGAAAGTGGTAAAAATGAATGAAGAATGATTGAAAGAACGAACGATAGAATGAAAATGAAGGTGTGGAGAAACAAATGAATGAATGAATGAAGAAAGGAGTGAAACAGCAGATAAATGAACAAACAAACGAGTGAACAAGCGGAAAAAATATTGAATAAATGACATCCTACAGTAAAAATCACAATCAAATTTGAGAAGAGTAGAAAAAACAACAACAACAACAACAGTAATAACAACAACAACAGTAAGACTGACCTGTCCATCTCTGCCGACCTTGACGGGCTTGTTCATGTTCCAAGGATTCTTCAGGTGCATGGTATCAGTGAAGTGGAGTTCCTTCCTGTTGTTTGTCATCATTGTGACGTCATTGTTAAAGGAAGTAATGATTGATGGAGTGAATGAAACAAAAACAAAAATAACCATATCAACGTTAAAAAATTAAATTAAAAACAGCAACTATAATAATAGACCACCTTGATATCCAATCCAGTTTAAAGACAGAACTGAAGACCCTGGCCTCAAGACCTGGTGGGAGGACCCAACGAACAGGTGGGTGGGACTTATCAGACTCAGAAGCTAAACGGGCAAATCCTATTCGTCGGTGGATTAGCCAATTTGATAAACTATAATGAATAATTGAATATTAATGAGAATGTGATGTAGACTGTAAATTATTAATTTTCTCTATACTGTCAGAGGTATCACCAACACACGCGCGCATACACACACACACACAAACGCATACACACGGTGCATGCGTGTGAATCCATGCAATGCACAATGTATCATCAGACACAAACATAGGCGGGATCTGTTTGCACTCGAAACCGGTAACAATTACACCAGGAGTAGATAAATGAATGAAGAATATTAATATAAAACCTTGGAACTTTCCACTCTCTTGTACTGAGAATATTAGGAGAACATTCGCACATTGCTGTGTAGGCGGAAAATAATTAATTAAATTTTCAAAACTACAAAAACAAAATAAAATCCTCATCAATAAATAATTTATTTTTATGATACACAAATTTTAAAAGAATCCAAGCTCAGCAATCATCTGAAATTTCTATAATCACTTATCACTAATCCCTAATTCCTAATCCCTAACTTTGAATGCCTGGTTGAGTCTGGCCTCGTTCTGGGGTGGGGTGGACCAGATGTTTCGAGCTTTTGCCAGACTGACATTCTCGTGGTTGTTGCTTTTGATGAGGAAGAAGCGAGCCGAACGGAAGATGTACTTCAGACGCGATTCACGATCTTTGGTAATGTGGTTGCAATGATGATGATTAGGACGACAACGACGACGATAATGATGTTTGTAGTGATGGTGATGATGAAGATAATGGTGGTAATAATAAAAGAATGAAAGAGTGAACGAATGAATGAATGAGCAAATGAATGAACAAATGGAAGAAACCTTTTTCAGAAGCGCTATCAACTTTGAGCTTTTTTGCATCAGTGGCTGCAAGATGAAGTTTTAAATGATTTAATCACTTATCTCCATTACATGATCATCAGATGAGTTCAATAGCCACTCATTCATTCAATCATTCAATCACTCATTAATTCATTCCTCCATCCATTCAAAAAACCATTCGTTTATTCATTCAACAGATCAATCACTCACTCATTTAAATAAAAAAAACTGCTCAATATATAATTTTGTCTGCATTTAAATAACAAATCATCATCATCGTCGTCATCGTCCTCTTCATCAAACTCACAATTGTCAATGGTTGGAATGGCTTCACCAATCATCATCTCTACATCCCCATTATTATTATTATTATTATTATTATTATTATTATTATTATTATCATTATTATTATTATTATTACTCCACATTATAGGTGATATGCTATCGTGCTTCCTCTTCAAGTTATTGTCCCCATCACCGTCTGTTGAAATCGAGAAATTAAAAATGTTTCAATGTATAATTCGATTTTTTAAACAAAAATATGAATGGATGGACGGATTGAATTGGATTGAATAGAAGAGTGAATGATGAAAAAATGATTGAATGAGGGAAAAAACGAAGGAATTAATAGATGGATGAATGGATGAACAAAGAAACTGTTGAATGAATGAATGAAAAAAGTGATTCATCCTTCCTATTAGTAGTGTTTAATTTACTTTTTCCACCAGCAACAACATTGATAGAGTTGTTGCTGTTGTTGTCGTTGTTGTTGTCCGGTTTTACTTGACCTTCAACCGAGCTAGAGTCAAGGTCATTTATGAGTTCAAAATCAACATCCAGGTTTTTGTTGATCTGTATCTCGATCTCAAGATGGTGATCATTGCTGTTGTTGTTGTTGCTGTTGTTGTTGTTGCTAGCGTTGGTGACGTTGTCAGCAGTGTTGATGACGTCATCACTTTTGTTGTTGTTGTTGTTGATGTTATCGTCGGTGTCGGAAGTGACGTTGCCAGTGAGGTCAAGGTCATTTTTGGCAATGTTGACGTCGTCGTCGGGAGCTGAAGGAATGTCCATGGCTTCCATCTGTCCATCTGTAGGGCAATACAATATCGATGTTGTATGTTGATGTTTTTGTATAATTTACCGCTAACAATGTTTGATAATGCCGTTGCTTTGCTGTTTTAAATCTATGAATATGTGATTGTATGTATGTATGTATGTATGTGTATATGTATGTATGTGCGTATGTTTGTATGTACCTGTGTATGTATGTATGTTTGTATGTATGTATCTGTGTATGTTTGTTTGTTTGTATGTATGTATGTATGTTTGTATGTGTATGTATGTGTGTTGGTGTGTACCACAACCTTCCAAAGATAACGGCTCCTCAACTGATTTTACATCGTCAACATCGTCAAGAATCTTGAATTCAGTGGCCTCCTCATTACAATCGCTACTCACATTATCACCACCGTCGTCGTCGTCACCTTCACCATCACCATCGGTGGCTTTGATATCATCATCATCATTATTATCAGCTATATTATCATCATTCTTAGATTGATTATTATTATCATTATCATTATTAATGTTATTATTATTATTATTACTACTACCATCATCATCATCATGGTGGTTGTTGTTGATGTTGTTATCAGATGATGTGGTGTTTAGACAATATAGCTGGTCTTCTAATGCAATGCTTTCATCATCTGTCATCATCAGTATTATTATTACTATTGTTATTATTATTATCATTATTTATCATCATTGTAATGAAAATTAGAGATGGCAAGATGATAAAATGATGATTCAGACTAATGGATTGAAATTAACTTTTTGTATTAAATTAACTTTTAATAATCAATAAAAACTAAAAGTGAATCACTGCAACAAACTTTCAAACTGCTTGTTCTCGGCGTCATCTGCATCTATGTCAGTCACGTTGTCCATTGTCAGTATTTCGTCTAGTAAATCTGAAAAAAATTAATTAAATTAAATTAGAATTTTTTGTTTTAATAAAAGCATTGTTGGAGAAAATGGCTAATAGATAGAACATAGACTTAGAATATAATAATTTCAATGGAATAATAACATAATTTAATGATTTTGTAATAATGTTTTGTTAGGTTGTGGTTAGTTAATTAATAAATAAAGTTATTATTAATTTTAAATTAAATAAATATGTATTAATCAATTAAATTGTAATAAATATGTATTAATCAATTAATGTAATAATGATAGGTAAACCTTAAAATGTAAAAATTTCAATTATTGTTATCACTAAATTAGCAGGTCGCATAACGTTGAAAAATGCGGAAGCGCGCGCGCTGAACTTTAAGGAATTTTTCTGAAAGTGAATTTACATTGTTATCGCAAACTCGCGTTTTCGTCGTCGTTATTTTTGTTTATTTTTCGAAAATGCGCCCATCTATATAATTTTTGGTTGTTATGAGCGATAAAAGAAATGTGTATTATTATAAAAATATTTTTTCTTTGTTGTTCTGAGTCACATTTGTTGCAGACTATTCGCTACGAGGTTGGTGTATTTTAATTTTTTTTATAAAGTTAGTTAAACATGGACAACACCGATTTTTTTTGAAGAAATGTGATAATTAACCAATTATTAACATTCTGTAAAAATATTTTTAAAATTAGAGTATAATGAAATTTTTTATGGATTTTTTTCCGCGTGCACCGTCGGTCACTAAAATACATTGTATTGGCTGTGTTTTTTTATAAAAATGTTCATAACTGCTAAATTTCATGGGCATCACCGATTTTTTTTGAAGAAATGTGATAATTAACCAATTATTAACATTCTGTAAAAATATTTTTGAAATTAGAGTATAATGAAATTTTTTATGGATTTTTTTCCGCGTGCACCGTCGGTCACCAAAATGCGTTGTATTGGCTGTGCTTTTTTATAAGAATGTTCATAACTGCTAAGTTTCATGGGCAACACCGATTTTTTTTGAAGAAATGTGATAATTAACCATTTATTAACATTCTGTCAAAATATTTTTGAAATTAGAGTATAATGAAATTTTTTATGGATTTTTTTCCGCGTGCACCGTCGGCCACGAAAATGCATTGTATTGGCTGTGTTTTTTTATAAGAATGTTCATAACTGCTAAGTTTCATGAGCAACACCGATTTTTTTTGAAGAAATGTAATAATTAACCATCTATTAACATTCTGTAAAAATATTTTTGAAATTAGATTATAATGAAATTTTTTATGGATTTTTTTCCGCGTGCACCTCGCAGTCACGAAATTCAAAATGCGTTGTTTGAGTTGTATTGGTAGTTTTTTCACCAGAATGTTCGTAACTGCTAGCAACAACGACAATTTTTGAAGAAATGTGATAAATAACCATTTATTTAACATTCACATTGTACAAATATTTTTGTAATTACAATATGATAAAATTTTTTTTGATTTTTTCCCATGATCAAAAATCCAGTGGTTGTCTGTGTTTTTGGAATAGAATGGTCATAACTATTAAGTTTCCTGCTTGATTATTATTATTATATTATATATGGTATTATATATATAATATATTATTATTAATAATTTTTTAAGAAATGTAATAAATAATCATATATTAACATTCTGTAATATTATTTTTGAAACTGTAATTCAAGTGAATTTTTTTAATTTTTTTTCAGCCAGGCCACAATTAGTAAAAATAATAAAATTAAAAAATAGTTGAGACATAATTTTTTGTTCAATTCATTATCAATTTATTTAAAGTTATGGTCAGCCAACCAGTCTGAACCCAGAAGCTCCTTCATGCAGTTCAACAGCTGCCCAACATATATATATATATAAATTATAATATATTATATGATATAAAAATATAAATACCATTGTAATATGATTATGATTATTAAATTTTAATATATAAATAATATATATAAATTATAGATACATATATAATTATTTTATAATTATAATTAATCATTTATAATTAAATTTTATTATAAATATAAATTATTCATAATTATTATTTTCTTATTTTACAGCTGTTATAAAAACAAGAAGAAAAATTGTGTTGTGTTCAATTTTAAATCGTTCTTTTCATGTCTTGTGCGCGAATGTAACGCTCCATGCTCACTTAACATTGAGCGCCACTCTTAACATGGCGCAAGTTGAAAGTAAAAATAATTCTTTCAAAATTCGTTTTCTCGGTAACTATAAATGCTACAATAATAAATTTAGTATTATTTTAATCAGCAAATTTTACTTTATAAGAAAAAGTAGTTTATATACGAAAAAAATTTTTTTTTAAAAATCGTGCGACCTGCTACACTAAATCTTTAGTTTTAGGTTTTAGCAGTATGAGAGTATGCTAAAATTAGGATTTTGTTTATTTTTCAATCTACGAAATACATTTTATACTATTTTATTTAAGTTTATTAAAATTTTTATTAAAAAATGATTGATGGGACACATATGATGATAGTCAGATAGTGACACCAGGTAAAATTAACAAAAGGACCGAGCTAGCTGAGGTGTGTGTGTTCTGTTGTTTTCCCTAATTTAAAAAAGTGAGCATTTCACTAACCAAATAGTGAAAGAAAAAGAAAACAGCCACAAATGAATTGTTAAAAGTTTGTTAATTTTAATGTTAATCAGTAAATTTAAATAATTATAAATTTTTTTATTTGATTTTGATGGCTGAGGAGAGCTATGATCTTTGAAAAAAATGAAGATGTTTTATTTTTATTTGATTGTGACTGTGATTAATTGCAAATAACAAATTAATAAAACCTACCTCGATCTTCGGCCATTTTTGAAATTTGAATTCGTTTTCAATTTTATTTTATTCCTAATTTATCGCCGACAAACAAACTAAACCCTACAAAAACCTATTTGTCGGAAAAGTAAACAAGCCATGGATATATATATATATATATATATATATATATATATATATATATATATATATATAAAACCATGTAACAACCATAGTAAAGAACCATAGAAAATAATTTTTTCTGTATTGACTTTTAATCGTTTGTTAATGAGAGTTTTAAGTTATTTCCATTTTATAATACTATCCTGTTCAATAAGATACTGTTTGATACTGTACAATCAGTTAACCAGAAAATCAACCGCTGAATCAATCAATCAACTGCTGAATCAAATCAACTGACCGAACAATCAATCAATCATTTAACTAACCAATCTAACAATCAACTAATAAACTTTGAATTATGTAATTTGAAATTATTTTTGCCAATTTTAATGAAAATATTGCAATTTCGTAATTAAGCTAACCTATGGCTTTATAATGCGGTAGTTTCATGAAATTATATAATATATATATATATATATATATATATATAATTCAATGGGTAGTTTAACCACCGTGTTTTCGATATATTTTCATTTAAATTGACAAAAATAATTTCAAATTACATAATTTGATTTAATTATTTGTTTTAAAATTATTTAGTCAATTACATATCATGGAATTATATAATTCAATGGTACATATTTTGTTTTAGCTGTTTGTTGAAGCCCACGCAATTTCGTATGCTAGCCAACCATAACTTCAGTAAGCCACTCTGTTTTCTAAACTGACAGCCATGGAAATATATCAATGCTGACAGCAACAATTTTAAATTTTATAATTTGATTTAATTATATTTTTTTAAATATAAAATATATACAAAATATTTACTCAACTAAATATTTTAAGTTGTCTGTTAAAACCATATAATTAGAATAAATATAACGGCCTTCGATTATTTTTGACGGTCGAACATGGAGCTTACTTCCGGAGGGGAATTGGAGGGTGATTTTTTATCGCCCAAGTCAAAAGTTACGATCGTTTATTTACTAATTTCGGAATATTGCTTTTATTTAAAATTTAAAAATGTTTTAAAAGGTGATACTAGATGCTGTTTTAGGATAGATATTGCTGTATGACGGTTAAATATCTTTTTGCATTTTTTGTGAACCACCACTTAACTCATTAACTCTCTAACAACACTAACGACGACTAATTAATTAAAACATTGTAGTAATTCTATTTAATTTTAATAATGATTAATAGAATTATGTATTATTAAATTATTTTTGTTAATTTGAATATAAAAATTGCTTCTGGTCCAGTGAAATCCGGTGGCTTACTGAAGCTTAGTCCTTAGTAGGATTGAACTATCTATATTCTATACTATAGAATCTATAGTCACCCTTTTTTTTACATTATTCGATCATGTTAAAAATTTGTTTGCTTATGAAATAAATGGCCTAAATAAGTCAAAACTGTTATTTGAACTATCTTCATTATATTCAATGAATATTTTACATTCTGCTGGTGCTCATAAGAAACTGGCTGCTGAAATCATACGTTGGCTTACAGCAGTGGCTTACAGGGTTTCATAGAACTCTTACGATAGCACTTTTTTGTACATATAATGCTTTAAATAAATCAATATATTCATATCACAATTATTTTTGTCAGTATAAATGTAGAAATTGCTTTTGTCAGGTGAATAACAGTGGCTTACTGAAGCCGTAGGTTGGCTTAATCGGATTTTTTCTCATATATACAATACTATAAGATCAAACAATCAGTCGGTCGGTCGGTCAGTCAGCCAGCCGGTCAGTCAGTCAGTCTGTCAGTCAATCAATCAACCAACCAATTAACCGATCAATCAATCAACTAAATTGAATGAACCAAATAAGCAAAAATAAAAACAAAAATAAATAAAAAAAAATTTGTAAGGCCTGTCCAAACTCGAACAAACAGTTAACCGTACAGATCTACAAACAATTTCAAGATTTTAGTAAAGAAAGAAAAACACAATAGTTGCTTTTATTTGAATTCATTCAAAAATGAAACGTGACGGTTAATTAAAATTTTAAAATATCAATTTTTTTTTAAAAATTCGTATTTTAAATAAACAAATATAACAAAATATCAACCGATAAAAATAATTATTATCCATTATTATTATTATTATCATACGCACTCCTTAGAAGGTCTCGAAGGATAATAAACCACGTAACATGAACATTTAGTAAGAACATTTCACAACATACCATAATGACTAAATCAACATACTAAACAGAAGTAATTTATACATGCATATATACAAAGTAAATCAAGAAATATCCAAAAATTATATAACCAATTTAAAAAAAACTAGAAACCAGTCAACATTTGATGAATAAATAAATAGACATTATTAAAAAGATTGTTCAAAAAGGTACAATTTAAATGTAGTTTGTTTTGTTGGTGTGGTGTTGTGAAGCGAAAACAAACACATCATCACACAAAACTAGTAAGAAGTCGCAAGAATAGTAGTCAGTCACCTACCTATAATTAAATTACTCTCAGGGCCCTAGCTTACTTATAATCATTGACTCAACTCACCTACAAATTTGTATTTCTCATTTTAGATGTTTCAAGTATTTTATTTAACATATTTTAGCGTTATTTTACTTGAAGCTTTTTAACTAATGTTAAGCCCTAGCCTACCTACAATTGTTTAACTCATCCCAGTCTCTAACTTAACTATGAATTAAATTAAAGTCCGGTTCACGGTAAAGAAAATAGAAAGTTGAAGAGAAACATAACAACAACGCCACCGAATGAATGGATGTTGTGTATGTGTGTGATGTATTGATGTGTGCGTGTATGGAAATGTGGGGGCGCGCACTTTCCTCCAGAAACTTCACTCACTACCGACGAACCTCCATTGCACCGACCATCATCTGACATGCATCGATGGAATGAATTTGACCGAATACTGAA